TCAGGTTCAGAAAAGAGAATGTAAATTGAATTATCCACCTGGGTACAACACGAGGCTATATATAGACTCGACACAACGCCAGTTACCCAGGTGTTACGCGAATGTTCTAAGGGTCGCGAAGCGTCCCGAACAGAACCTTCCCGAACTCAGTAGAAAGCAATTCCGTGGAAACCGAATAGGCTTGTGTTCGGTACATGTAACCTGGTTCGATGCTATAACTATAATGAAATATAGGAATGCACCTAACCTATGTAATCAAGCATATCTATGCATGATAAATAAAACCCAAGCTAGATATAGCATTATAAAGTCTAGGCAAGCTAGCAAAGCTAGCATAAGCCATCGTACTCTCACACAAGCAAGCAAGGAGGTATACCACCAAACAGAAAGCTACACTACACTAGATAACACTAAATGCAGTTTGTACATAAAATATAACAATATATTTTACAACACACCCCCTAAACTGCCTGCAGGGAAAACAAGTGAAGTGAACACTGGGTACACTAGAGCAGGTGCAGCAGGTGCTGCAGTGGCAGATGAAGCGACAGGAGGTGTGACGACGGCAGCTGGACTTCACTCCCGCCACCCCCTCCACCCTCTTCCCCACAGCAACAGGTGTGGCAGTAGGAGAGAGGCTGGGGGAAAGGCGGTTGCTTCTGAAACTGGGGGGAAGGCGGCTGCTTTTGAAACACGGACGTCACCCCCTCACCCTCCCCCCCACAGCAGCAGGCGCAGCCATGAGAGAGAGGAGGCGGGCTGGTGCTGTAGATGCTGCCTCCCCCTCACACCCTCTTGCCCCCCCCCCGCCCCCCCAAAACTGCTGCACGCGCAGTAGGGAGAGGGAGGAGGCTGGCGCTGTAGGTGCAGCCTCCCATTCACACCCTCCTCCCCCACCCCACCCTAACCCCCCAAATGTTGCACGCGCAGCAGGGAGAGGGAGGAGAAAAAAAGGTAGGGGGGGAGGGGGGGGGGGGGGGGGGGTAGGGGTTGCTCCGTGGCTATAGATGCACGGGTAGGGCCCGCACCACAGCAGGGCGCGCGGGGCGCGTAGGGCAGCAGGGTGCGCGGGCAGGAACTGACGCGCGCGTGGGGCGCGCATCGGGCAGGAACCGACGCGCGCCCGGGGCGCGCATCGGGCAGGAATCGACGCACGCGCGGGGCGTGCATCGGGCAGGAACCGCCGCGCGCTCGGGGCGCACGACGGGCAGGAACTGACACGCGCGCGGGGCGCGCATCGGGCAAGAACCGACGCGCGCCCGGGGCGCACATCGGGCAGGAACCAGCGCACGCGCGAGGCACGCATCGGGCAGGAACCGGCACACGCGCGAGGCGCGCATAGGGCAGGAACCGCCGCACGCTCGGGGCGCACAACGGGCAGAAACCGACGCGCGCCCGAGGCGCGCGACGGTCAGCTTGACGGACTGCGCCATAGCGGAAGCTAATGGTGGGCCCAAGCAAGAAGGCTCTAGGAACGAGCCTGCTCTGATACGATGTCAAAATAGCATAGGCAAAGGTTAGAACCCCTAGGAAACCTTGGCTAGAAGATACCGTAGGCAAAAGAGGAATTGATTAAAGAGAAACAAGAGTACAAGCAATGATTAGGCTAGCAAGCAAGGAGGTATACCACCAAACAGAAAGCTACACTACACTAGATAACACTGTAGGTAGTTTATACATAAAATACCCCCCTCTTCCGCCCCGAAAGGGCTGTCAGTCATCAGCTTCGCGTGGTTCTGCCTTTCATGGTCGAATCGCCCGCCCTCAAGAGAGTCAAACACGGTACGGTAGAAATGGATGTAGGTGGTGTCAAAACTAGTAGTAGAAAGTAAGAATGAAGAAAGGAGGATTTTCACTAGCAGCAGTTGAGATACAAATAGGAAACCCTAATTGGGTTGTACTCGCTATAGAGTACCCCACTGCAGGCTAGACAAACATTACATTCTGCCACACCCCCATAGCCAAAGTGGGGTGTAATCAGCACAATGAGCAAAGCTAGTGGTAGTCACAGCGGGCAAGTGAGGAGGAGGAGGGACTGTGAGAGGAGAGAAGATGGGAGACTACGGCTGAAGCTGCAGACACACGGGCAACAGGAGCTGCTGGCACAGTGGCTACCGAGACAGCGCCCCGGACTACTGGAGTAACTGGCTCACGGGCTACGACGAGCTACAGGAGCAACGGACCCACGGGCGACAGGCGCAGCAGACTCTCTGGGCTACCAGGACAGTGCGCCCCGGACTACAGGTGCTGCGGACGACAAGACAGCAGCCTCCACTCAACCTCCCCCAACAGTCCCACCCCCCTTGACACACACCCCCTGCTTCACCTCTAGCTCCACTCCCACGTCACCCCCCTAGCTCCACTCCCCGCGGCTCCCACACCTCCACCCCCCTCAGCAGCAGCTGCAGCAGTGGGAGACGAACAAGGAGGAGGGGAAAGGGAAGGGGAGCACCCACACCATGCACCCCCATGCTCGCCACCCCACACCCCCCACCACCGCAGAACGCACGGCGGCACGAGAGTAATGGGCAGCACGGGGGGGGGGGGGGGGGGGGGGGGGGACGGGACAGGAAGGGGCCGCGAGCGCCTAGCCAGGGCGCCGCAACGGACCAGCAGGGGCCGCGCGCGCCTTGCCAGGGCGCCGTGACGGTCCTGCAGGAGCCGCGCGCGCCTGGCCAGGGCGCCGCGACGAAACAGCAGGGGCCGCGCGCGCCTGGCCAGGGCGCCGCGGCGAAGCAGCAGGGGCCGCGCGCGCCACGCCAGGGCGCCGCGACAGGACGGGCGGGGAGCGCGCGCTGCCCCCCAAGGCGCCACGACGGACGGGCGGGGGCCGCGCGTTGCCCCCGAGGCGCGACGACGGACGGGCGGGGGCCGAGCGCGCTGCCCCCAAGGCGCCACGACGGACGGGCGGGGAGCGCGCGCTGCCCCCCTGGGCGCCACGACGGACGGGCGGGGGCCGCGCGCGCCTCGCCAGGAAGAAAAAAAAAGGGCCGCGCGCCCCCCGGGCGCGCGCCACACAGAGAAACCAGAAAAAATTCGCCGCGCGCGAAAGGGTAGCGCGCCCAGGGCGCGCGACAGCAGTAGAGCAGCGGAAGCATTAGGTGGTGGGCCCACCCACAGGATCGACCCAAGGGGATCGACCTGCTCTGATAGCATGTCAAAACTAGTAGTAGAAAGTAAGAATGAAGAAAGGAGGATTTTCACTAGCAGCAGTTGAGATACAAATAGGAAACCCTAATTGGGTTGTACTCGCTATAGAGTACCCCACTGCAGACTAGACAAACATTACATTCTGACAGGTGGACTCGCTGCAAAACGGGGAATCGTTGCCGTTTTAATCAGGATTAAAAAAAAAATGTACATGCGTTTATAATAAATCAGGGTTTTACAGGGGGTGCTCTTATAAATGAGGATCGGCTACAAGCGCATTGCTCCATATATAAGCGCATTCGCTTATAATAGGCCTGCGCTTATGTCTGGGGTCATACGGTACAAATCTCGTGAGAGAATTACTGTAGAACCTGGATCGGTGATTCATCCTTACTCGCGTGGCCTCGAATTACTTGAGTGGCCACCAAATTTGGTGATAATTACTCGAGTGGCCACGCCAGAGGATTCCCGCTGGCTTTTTTTTTTTACGGCGCATTACCCTACAAGGGTTCGTATCCTTGAAACCTCTGTATTGATAATCACGCGATTTTTAAATTACGCGATGATTTATAATGGATGTTTTCGCGTAATGATTTATATTCGAAATTTATGTTCGTGACTCTATATGACCGCGCCTGATTGGACGCGCATATAGTGGACCAATCATGCGCGATCATTAATGGTCGGACACATCATATATTAATGCCCGATCATATATTTCCGCGATCATAAACTACAATGCCCGGGCGTCAATGCGCGGGACATTAAATGACCGCGCATGATTGGTCGACTATATGCGCGGTGCTTTGTTTTGCAATGCGCGTCCAATCAGGCGCGGTCATATGGGGTCACGATAATAAATTTCGGATATTGAAGATCGCGCATTAATCAGTACGGTACAGAGGTTTCGGGGATACAAACCCTTGTAGGGTAATGCGCCGGGTAAAACAAAACCAGCGGGAATCCCCTGGCGTGGCCACTCGAGTAATTATCACCAAATCTGGTGGCCACTCGAGTAATTCGAGGCCACGCGAGTAAGGATGAATCACCGATCCAGGTTCTAGAGTAATTCTCTCAAATCTAGTTCTTGACACTTGTGAGTAATTCTTAATATTATTAGATCGCATTTCAGTAACATGAAAACCTCCTAGCGAATCACGTAGTATTTCGAATTATGGTAACCTGGATTGAGTTTGGTCACCAGTTGGCCAAACATGGGCCGCTGGCTGGACTGGAGTGGAGTCACGGAAGCTGCATTCAGGTAGTGAGGGGTAGGGCGCCAGTGGGGCGTCGGATAGTGGCTCGATAATCGTCGCGTCAAAGCGACGGACAGCGCGACGAAACAGCGACACACAGAGCGACAGTAGATGATGAGAGCAAGAATAGCCGATTCGCGTTGGCGGAGAGCCGCGACAGCAGAGGCGCGAGGAGCAGCGGGAATGGCGGATGGGGGAAGCGCGGGCGCGCAGGCGGGGCTCCCGGCGGCTGCAGCGGCGGAAACAGCAGCGTCTCTGCGAGCAGCACAGGCCAGAGCGGCGGCGGCACCGGCGCGAAGAGGCGGTGGTGCCAGTTGCGCTCCGCCTGGATCATTTCCTCGTCGTCGCCACCGCAGCCGCCCCCGCCGCTACCGCCGCCATTCCCGCTGCACGCGCGCCTCTACCGGGTCTCCGCGAGAGCCCGCGGAAATCGGTTTAAGCGCTGACGGGGCCAGAAATGACGGGCGGCCGCGCGGAGGGGAAAGGGGAGGCGGAACCGGGAGGGGAGTCGCAAGGAGGGGAGGGGAATAGGTGGATACTAGCGCGCGTGGTTTGGGTTCGGCGGAAATGATGCGAGGGGAGGGATAACGGGGATTAGGAAGGCGGAGGAGGGGAGAAGGCGCCGGCGGACGGGTGGAGACAGGTGGGGACGGGCGGGAAAAGTGGAAAAACGGGAGAAAGGTGTGAGAGGGCGTGCGTGAGAGAGGGTGCGTGGAGACGCGCTGTGGAGGGGTGGGTGAAGGCAGCAACTTTGGAGAGAAATAGTGTGAGGCGGGGGAAGGAGAGGCGGACACCGAATAAGAAGCGAGCGAGCCGCTTGAAACGCATGGTGGTGCTGGCGACACAGGCGCGCGAGCGTGGGCGGCAGTGCGAGCGCGTGCGCAGGTGGCAGCGTGCGCAGTAGCGCGAGTGTGGGGGGAGGGGGAGATGGGGGAGGGGTGGATGGGGAGACGGGGACCTCAGGGTAAAGGACGCATGGGAGCAGGGAGCTATGCGGCGGCGCATCCCCTGCATCCCCCTCTCCCTCCCCATCCCCCCCGCAACGACGCACAGGAGCAGGGAGCGATGAGGCGGCGGGTGCTGGCAGGGCTGAAGGAGGTGGGGCAGGCGGTGCGCAGTGGGAGGGCCAAGTGTGTGGTGCTGGCGCCTATTGTGGAGGAGGTGAGTGGGGCAGGTGAGGGGAGGGAGCTGAGGGGAGCGAGGTAAGGGGAGGGGTAGGTGAGGGGAGGAGAGGGAGGTGAGGGGAGGGAGTTGAGGGGAGGAAGGTGAGGGGAGGAGAGGGAGGTGAGGGGAGAGAGGTGAGGGGAGGAGAGGGAGGTGAGGGGAGAGAGGTGAGGGGAGGAGAGGGAGGTGAGGGGAGAGAGGTGAGGGGAGGGAGGTAAGGGAGGGGTAGGTGAGGGGAGGGGAGGGAGGGAGGTGAGGGGAGGGAGGTGAAGGGAGGAGTAGGTGAGGGGAGGGGAGGGAGGTTAGGGAGGGGTAGGCGAGGGGAGGGGTAGGCGAGGGGAGGGGTAGGCGAGGGGAGGGAGGTGAGGGGAGGGACGTGAGGGTGGGGTAATGATGGGTGGCGCTGGAGAGGTAAGTGTTTGGTGGCGGCAGCTACTGTGGAGGAGGTGTGCGGGGAAGGGGTCGGGGGCAAAGATGCTGGTGTGGGGGGGAGAGATGCTGGTGTGGGGGGGAGAGATGCTGGTGTGGGGGGGAGAGATGCTGGTGTGGGGGGGAGAGATGCTGGTGGATGGCGCATGGTGGGGTGGGGTAGGCGGTACGCAGTGGAAAGGCCAAATGTGCATTGCACCCAGTGCTGCCACCCAACGGGGAGGGGGAAAGGCGCCTGGGGAAGGTGAGAAAGATGAGGGGAAGGTATGGATGGGAGGCGAGAGGAGGGTTAAGAGTTGTTAAGTGCGTGGTGCTGCTGCTGGCTATCTGCGTGGGAGAGATGCCGTGGGAAGGTGAGAGGGGGGCGGGTGTGGGTAGGAGGAAAGGAGGGTGGGAGGGTTCCACTTACCCCTCACAACCCCCCTTGGCGAGGAGAAGCGGCAATGGCGGACTGGGCAGGCACGCGCGCACAGGCGAGACTCCTGGCGGTGGCAGCGGCGGAAACAGCAGCGTCGCTGCGAGCAGCACAGGCCAAAGCGGCGGCGGCGGCGCGAAGAGGCGGTGGACGCTCGCTCCGGTCGCGCTCCGCCTGGATCATTTCCTCCACCGCCACCTCCGCCGGCTGCACCGCTTCGCCGCCATCCCCCCTGTGAGCGCCGCTCTACCGCCCCCTCCGCGAGAGTCCGCGGATATCAGTTTGCCCGCCACTAGGAGGAGGGGCGCAGATGGACGCAGCAGTGATGGGCGACCGCAGGTAGGGGGAAGGGGGGGCGGAGTGGAGAGGGGAGGTGCGGAGTGGAGAAGGGGCAGGGGGGATGCTGGCGCGTTGGGTTTGGTGGAAACTGGGTGGGAGACGGGGGAGCATGAGGCGGAGCAGGATGGGGGAGGAGGGCAGAAGGGGCGGGCGGAGGGGTGGGGACGGGCGGGGGAGAGGGAAGGGACGAGATTTTTCTCCATGGGCTCCAGGAGGGGCCAGGCGAGCGGGGGAGGGGAGGAACCGCGGAAGGGGGGAGGGGGGGCTGTTGCGGGTGAACATGGCAACGTGGGAGAGCATTGGTGTGAGAGGGGGGGGGCGAAGGAGAGGCAGACACCGAAGCAGAAGCGAGTGAGCCGCTTGAAACGACTGGTGGTGCTGGCGAGACAGGGAAGGGGGGGAGGAGGGACGGGAGGGGGAGGGAGGAGAAAGGAAGGGATGGGAAGACGGGGAACTCAGGGTAAATGACGCATGGGAACAGGAGGGTGGGAGGGTTCCACTCGCCCCTCACAACCCCCCTTGGCCCTCACAACCCCCCTTGGCCCTCACAACCCCCCTTGGCCCTCACAACCCCTCTCGCACCCCCGAGGATGACCTTGCCGTGGGCTGCTGTCGGCAAGCTCTGGGACACATGGCACATGCGGTGAGTGTTATGCCCACTAACCATGCCCAGCTAGCTACCCATGCCCATCCACCCATCTCACTTCACACATGCCCATTCACCCATGTCGCTTCATATGCCCATCCACCCATGTCCCTTTGCAAATTTCCAACCCCCCATGTCCCTTCACACATGCCCATTCACCCATGTCTCTTCACATGCCCATTCACCCATGTCTCATCACATGCCCATTCACCCATGTCCCTTTACAAATGCCCAACCCCCCATGTCCCTTCACACATGCCCATTCACCCATGTCTCTTCACACATTCCCATTCACCCATGTCGCTTCACACATGCCCATTCACCCATGTCGCTTCACACATGCCCATTCAGCCATCCCATGTCGCTTCACACATGACCATTCACCCATGTCGCTTCACACATGCCCATTCACCCATGTCTCTTCACACATGCCCTTTCACCCATGTCCCTTCACACATGCCCATTCACACATGCCCATTCACACATGCCCATTCGCACATGTCCCTTCACATATTCCCCTTCACTCGTGCCCATCACCATCTTCCGTCACCAACCACCACCGCACACCACCACCCAACACCACACACCACCACCCACCACCACCGTGCAGGTATCTGCCTTCACTCACATCATTGACACCCATCCGATCCTCAAGATGCACCCGTCCTCTTCCACACCTGTTACCAGGTAAGCTGTGGGGGCGGTGTGTGCCTTTCAGGGAATCACCAGGTAAGCTGTGGGGGCGGTGTGTGCCTTTCAGGGAATCACCAGGTAAGCTGTGGGGGCGGTGTGTGCCTTTCAGGGAATCACCAGGTAAGCTGTGGGGGCGGTGTGTGCCTTTCCACCAGGTGGTTTCCAGGAAATTACCAGGTGGCTTCCAGGAAATCACTAGGAGCTTATGAACAGGTGACTATCAGATGCCTATGTGTTGAGCTATTGGGTGAGTTGTACGGGGGTATGTGGGTGGTTTGCTCCACCTGAACGCCCTACTAGCCCCTGTGCCTCATGTCTGCTGTTCCAATCTTTCTCTTCCACTTCACTGCTTTTGTCTCAGCGTGACATCACCACTTCTCTCGACAGTTCTTTCAGTGACTTCTCCAGTGAACAAGCACGAGGGGGAGAGGGGAGATGGTAGGGTAGTGGAGCAAGCACGAGGGGGAGAGGGTAGAGGCTAAAGCAAGAGGGGGGGAGATGGTGGAGGAGAACCATGAGTCAAACCGAGACAGCTACAATCAGTTTGGGTTGACACAGCTGTCCCCTGAGTGGCTTATCCATTGCCGACGTCTTCAGCAATGCCCTCCTGGAGAGGGAGTGGAGCGTGTGGGTGGCAGAAATGGGTGAGAAGGGAATGAGGAACGTCAAAAGAGGATACGAAGTGGGGGCACTGCAGTATAGGCACTGAGAATTGCCTCGGCGATGTTATCACATCCGTTGTAGCCTCCTGATGCTCAAATCCGTCTGTATCTTTTGTACACATATACATTGTAAATAAAGCGGTTAGGATACTCGGCTCTCACCCGAGAGACCCGGGTTCAAGTCCCGGCAACGGAAATGTTTTTGGTGTCTTCGTAAGTCACACTTCAGTATTTGGGCACAGGAGACACAACCCAAAATGTTGACAGTGTTGTGCACAATTGACCTCGCAGGGTTCCTCTTGCCTCCCGCCGTCCAAACAAAGTGGTTTTGCAGCTGTGAGGGAGTGAAGGAGCGATGAGGGAAAAAGTGTCTTTTTGTTCCCTTACTTCAACGGCTATGCCGTTCCCCAGCTCTCACTGCCCTGGCTTCATAACCAAATCATTTTTCTAGTCGACGCATGTATGGGCAGACAAAAACGACACAAGCAACCTCTTCTTCCAGCATTCCATGCTGCCTCATGCTGCTTCTCTTGCCCCCTACCCTTCCCATCACCTGCCCCTTTCTCCCACCCCCTTCAGAACCTTTGAGCGTACAAGAAGGGCCAAACGAGCATCTTCTTCCCTGCTGCTGCCCTTGCTCCTTTCCTTTCCTTTCTCGTTACCCTTCCTGTCCTGTGCCCCGTTCTGCCCCACCTCCGCACACTTCAGAGCCACTAGGCGTACAAGAGGGATCCAAGGAACCACTTTCTCAGCTATGCCATGCTGCCCAGCCCTCAGCTGCTTCTCTGTCTTCTTCCTGTCCCCTTACCTTATTTGATGGCCCCTTTCACTCCGTTCCCTCCCGCCAACCCCTTCAAAACCACTTGGTGTACAAGAAGGACCCAAGCAACCTTCCGAGCTATGCCATGCTGCCTCCTGCTGCTTCTTCTGGTATCTTGCTTTCCCCTTGCCTTTCGGTCACCTGCCCTTCGCTGTCCCGTCCGCCCCATCTTCCCCCATCCCCTTCAGAACCACAAGAAGGATCTCAGGAACTTCTTTCCCAGCTATGCCATGCTGCCCCTGCTGCCAGCTTTGCTCCCATCTGCACCTGCCACCACCTTCAGAACCACAGGGCGTACAAGAAGGAACTCAAAAACCTCTTTCTCGGCTATGACATGCTGCCCCAGGCACAGCCTCTATAGCTGCGCTGATGCTGGTGCTAATGGGTTGGTGCAGGGTGGGTGGGTGGTTGCACCGCCATCCCTCACATCCCAACCGCCATCCCTCACATCCCAACCGCCATCCCTCACATCCCTCGCGTTGCAGAATCCCTCGTCAAATGCTGCCTTACTGAATTAATGTTTTCGCCTTCACCATGCTCTCCTCCATCCAAAGCAGTGTCAAGATCCCCTCCACCCCTATCCACCCCCCCACTCTCTCCCCTCTACCTGCTATCCCGAACAGGGCGTGTCACCGCTCTTCACCGTTCAAGTGTTAGCAGATGACCTGCAAGGCCAGTATCACCGCTCATCACCATAATTCCACTTAGAGATGGCAACTGGGGAGTGGGCAGACTGTGCCTGGGATATGGAGTGGCCCTTGACGTTTCTCCGGCAGTGTGCTCTGCCTCTTCTGATCCTCCCTCAATGATCATCGTCGCCTTTCCCAACCACAAAGATCTTCCATCGCTCCATGAGAGTTCGCCACTTGGCAAAGGCCGATTGGTGCTTGCGTGGAACTATGCTGCTGCTGTTGCTCAATAGTGACAGCATGTTCCTTTCCTCCTCTCCCCCCCTCCCTTCCGCACCAACTTCTGAGTCAACCAGAAAAACACTATGCTGTTGAACTGAACATCAGTCTGCTGCTGCTTCCCAATAGTGGCGAAACGTTCCCTCAGATGTCTAGGGCATCACCCCATTTGGCATGACACCAAAACCTTTGCATTCAAAGTACAGCTGCTAGTTGTTATTCAGTTCCATTGTATGAACTTTGACTGTCTGTTTCATTCCAGACTTCCTATCGTCCTCATCACTCGTTGGCACTGCAACATGGTTTAGGCTGAGCATTTCAATTTGAAGTTCTCAGCTGTTGACGACTAAGGTACAGAGAAGCTCCGAAGATATATGATGGTACTGGCATGTTCATTATACAAAAAGTAAAAGTGCACATCTTTCACCCTGATAGAGCTCAGATTTCGCTATGATGCACTGAACACTATCATCTCAGATTACCGTACGTTCTGCTGGCAACACTTTCATCTTCAGGATTGGATCACGAATTCAGGAGGCAAGTCACACTAGGTATCTGCACCGTGCATACTCTGTTGGACACTACTCTGGAGGGGATCGGATCACGAAATCAACAGAGGTAACCAACCACTTTCAACAACAGCATGCAAGCTTCTTATACAACAATGGCACACCATACAGTAGCCTCATCCCGTAACTTCAGAATGATCTATACAAGCACAAGCATGTTGCACATTATTCACCCTGAACCAAAGCCACAATACAGGGAGCAGCACAGCAGTTGGCCGGCCAACGCATGGCAAGGGCTTGGGTGGGCTGAAATGACATGGGTGGGCTGAAATGGCATGGGTGGGTTGAAATGGCATGGGTGGGTTGAAATTGCATGGGTGGGTTGAAATGGCATGGGTGGGCTGAAATGGCATGGGTGGGCTAAAATGGCATGGGTGGGCTGAAATTGCATGGGTGGGTTGAAATGGCATGGGTGGGTTGAAATGGCATGGGTGGGTTGAAATGGCATGGGTGGGTTGAAATGGCATGGGTGTGTTGAAATGACATGGGTGGGTTGCAATGACATGGGTGGGTTGACTATGTTGCACTATACGCGATTCGCCTATCAGTCGCGTTCGACTTATACGCTTACGTACGTACGTGAAACGGGGGATTCCCGCCCCAAGATACGCTCCAAATACGTTCGCCCGGGCAGAGGGAAAAACGTTTCGGGCAGGGGAAAAATAGTGTCAGGGGGGTGAGTCGTGTTGCCTATGTTCATTGTGATTTTTTCCCCACTTATGAAAATATTTTTCCCCATTACAAACATGCATTGCAAGTACACACATACTAACAACTACTTGTCTGATACCTCCCCGAACTCCTCTACTCCCCAAACCTTCATCTGTTAATCCTCCACCTCTACTCCTCATGCTCGTCGCCTCGTCAATCACTTACCCTGCTGCTGCCTTTCTTACTCCACGTACTCATCGGCCAGCATGGCATCCTCCTCCTCCTCCTCCTCCTCCTCCTCCCCCTCCCCCTCCCCCTCCCCCTCCCCCTCCCCCTCCCCCTCCCCTTCCTCCTCCTCCTTGTATCCCTCCGGCAGAGGGGGAGCACGGATGTTGCCCAGAAGCACCGCCAGTGACTCACCCATCTTGTGGTACTTGTGGACCACCAGCCAGTTGTGGGCCACATAATCTAGGTCCCGGAGTTTCTCCGAGCCTCGCTTGTTGCGGCGGGCAGTATGCACCGATTCCCACGATGCCCACCCGTGTTCACACAGCGAGGCTGACACCGGCTGTGTCAGGGCACGGCACGCAAGACTGGCCAGGTGGGGGTGGTCAGTCCCGTGCCATCCCCACCACTGCACCATCGAGTGCTTGCCTGCCTTCACGGCCTCCCTGTCAGCAATTGCCTCAGGGAGGCCGAAGGATCCTTCAAGGGTGAGGAAGGCCATGAGCCCCTCTTTCAAAACAAGAGAGGCCCGCTTCTCCTCACCGTCTTTGTTGGTGAACGTCTTGCCGTCGTAGTGGCGCGCGATGAACGCCTTGAAGATGCGGGTACATTCCACATCGTTGCGGAATATACCCTCTTCCTGATTTGCCGGGTTCAGGATCCGGCCAACGACGTGAAGCACGCAAGCAAGGCTCTCGTCCCAACGGCGCCTAACAATCTTCCCTATCTCAGCCGCATCCGCCCGCGTCAGAATCTTGTTCCCCGCATCCAGCTTGACGTTCATGTCCTCGGTCAGCTGGAGCATAAGGTCATAGATGGTGCCCATCATGCCTTTCGCGCTGCTATCCGTGGCCCGCATCACCTTGAACGGAAGCGCCAAGAGCTCCACGAGGTATGTTGCTTTCTTCCACCACTCGTCGTCCAAGACGTGGCCGCGGAAGGTATCCGCCGTCAGCTTCCTTCGCCCACGGGATCTTGCCCACGTCCTTCATCAGGAGGTCAAGCACGTGCGTAGCGCACGGCACGTACTCGATGTGTGGCCATTCCGCAATAAGCTCCTTGCAGGCGACCCCGTAGTTGGAACCCCCGTCCATGCAAAGAGCGACTACGTTTTCGGGCCCCACGTTCTCGATGATGGGGCGGAGAAGGGACGCGATGTAGCCGCCGGTTTTTTACTCCATGTTGCAGTCAATAGCCTCGACAAACACAGCTCCGGAGTCGTTGATCAGCATGACGTTCGCCTGCGGCCTCCCGCACCGATCGGTCATCATGTCCGAGGCGACGGTGACGCCATCCCTCTTCCAGCTCGCGGCGATTGGCTGAAGGCCCTTCTCGATGCCCGTGCGGCAAAGCTTCAGGCCAGCCCCTCCGACGTAGTTACGGCGCGGCGCGAGATAACCAGGGCCTGCGTAGTTAATGGCCCTGACCATGTTGCGCCACAACGGGTTGTTGGCGTGGTTTGCGGGAATGCGACAGCCTGCGAAGAACAAGCAGACGGAGTAGTCCGCCTCGCCCTTCTTGCATTTCTGCTCGTCGCCAATGAAGTCGGTGATGCGGCCTTTCTTAGAACCTCCCACGACAGCTTCGAGCGCAGCCTCCTAGGCCCTCCTCTTTTCGTCGCGGCCAGATGTTTTCTTCTCGTATTGCGCGCGCACCGCCGCTCGCACGTCGGACGGAGCCTTCGTGCACAGGCGGACGTCGCGCGTTTTCTGACCCTTCCATTTCGCGAGATGCTGAGCGCATCAAATCGCACCACCCTTGAACTCGATGGCGCAATAGTTGCAAACGCGGACAGCGCCGACGGTGTCGGGGCGGATCGGAACCTTGAAATGCTTGAAAACGATATGCTTACTATCCTCTTCCTGCCATTGTGCCTCAGAGGTTGAGGCTGACGGATCAGTAGTCTGAGTGCTGGGAAATGGGTCTGGAGTAGCCATAGTTCAACAGAGAACAAACGGGAGGCTAGGAAGAAAGAACTGGATGAGAATTGTGTTGAGGTGGGGTGAAATATACTTACCACGTATTGGTTGTGGGGAGGGGGACGTGCTGTGGTTGGTCACGACTTGTTGGGGTTGATTGGGCAATGTTGATGTACGTGGGGTGAATGTGGCGACTCGGTTTTGCACGTCCCTTGGTTGGAAAACGAATCGAAATGTCGGTATACGTGCGTACGGAAAGAACGCGGACTTTTTTTTTGTTTTTTTTTTTTTGTTTTTTGTTTTTTTTGTTTTTTTTGGCCTGCTCGGCTTTCTGTATCACGCATTTGTCCCCGCTTCACGTATTTGCGTTTATACGTGAACGCATAAACGTGAAACGTAAAACAGTCTAAGCGTATAGTGCAACATAGCACCCAACCACTAGCACCCACCCACCTGCACCATGTGTGCCCCACCCATGCTCCCGTGCTCCTGCCATGCTCCTGCTGTGAGTATCAAATGGAGGGAAGGGAATCAAAGGGGGCGTTTCAGGGTTGTTGCAGAGGAGGAGGGGTTGTAGCTCGAGATGGGTCAATCAGACCGATTCTACTTCCACCAGAGCACAGGCCTGCACGTGCTGGGAAAGCAGATCAGGTGGGTCCTCAGGTGCGTTTCCATGTTGGTCCAGCAGAAAGGGAGAGGGCCGGGTTTAGGGTGTGGCAGAGGGGGAAGGGGGGGAAAGAGATGCAGAGGGGTGTTTGAGTGAGGATGAAGAGAATGCAACTCCTGTTTTGGAGAACAGTGCATGAGAATGAATGACCATTAAGGTGCTGCTGATACAGCACAAGGTGCAGGCTTGCAGCTGGCATACCATTTAGCTACTGGCAACGTGAGCAGGGGAAGCACCAGCAGTAGCAAGAGGAGGAGCAAAGGGGGCGGGTGTCTCAGGGAGGCCTTGAGAAGGGTCATTCAGCTCAGCTACCGCTCACACTGCTTCTGCTGCATGTGTTCCCCGCACCGCACCCCCTTGTCCGCCCCCACGGTTTCTCCTTTTCTCACGCCAATGAAGCCACCACAGCTGATGCTACTGCTGCAAGTGCAGTGACAGGTTTGGTTGCAGCAGCAGAAGTCAAAAGCTCAGACAGGACAAGCGGGGTTGGTGAAAGACATGCAGCAGCCTCAGCAGCAGCAGCAGCAGCAGCAGCAGCAGCAGCAGCAGCAGCAGCAGCAGCAGCAGCAGCAGCAGCAGCAGCAGCAGCAGCAACAGCAGTAGCAGCAGCAGCAGCAGCAGCAGCAGCAGCAGCGAGGGATTGGATGAGGGGAGAAATGAGGTGAAGAAAAAGGGTCAAGCAACAGGGTTGGATGCATTCGAGCAAGTGAGAGCATTTTGGAGGAGGAAGGAAAGAGGCAAGGATGGTGGAATCGGGTTGTTAAAAAGAGAAATATCTTTGAAAGACCAGAAGAATAAGAACCACCAAAGAGGAGGGAGTGGTTGGAGGGGGAGGAGAGGGAGAGTTGCTGCCTGCGTGAGAGATGATAGTGCTCGAGAGCAGAGCAAAGGGTATTGATGAGACGTGCCACAGTGCAGTGCAAGCGTGCACACGCAGTAAGAGAATGAAACCCATGTAAACATCCCTTCACACAATGGCATGTGAAGACGCCATGTGCTCGTGGAGCCAGAAGTGGAGCCTTAAAGCCCATGTGACCAACATGCGACAAGCAGCGTGCAGCTAATGCCCATGGTAGCAAGGTTGCATCCACCGCTTTTTCTCTTCCCTCATACCTACGCCTCCCTCCTCCACTGCCACTCCCCGCTCCCACGCCTTTCCTGCCTGCCTCCACCCCACTCGCCGCCAACCAACTTCACCGCCTCCCCTGCTGCTGCAGCTGCTGCGGCCGTGTCCTTGCCATGCTGGCCTTGTGGCTGTCCATTGCAGTGATGTGTTTGCCCTCACGGGCAGGGTGCTGTTGGAGTGGGAAGGGGAAGAGTGTGTTGGGGACAGGGAGAAGAAAGTCAGGGCGTACTGTTGAGCAAAGGCAGCTGATAGTAACATTGCGCAGGGGAAAGTCATGCCCACATTCTTTCTTCCTCGTCAGAAAGTACCAGGACCTGGCGCTAGTGTTTACCAGTGCTTAGATTCACTCCTCTGCATCAGCAAAGTAACGGCAGAAGCACCGTACTGGGAGAGGATCGGCATCGGCACAAAAGGAGGGAGGTGTGACCAGCAGCAATGGATGCAACAGGAGAGTGACAAAGCCTTCAGATTTTCCACCTACTTGACCTCTCTTGCGGTGGGCTCCTTATGGTTTCCTTATGGTGTCAGTCAGGGTGACTTCACCCTGACTGACATCGCATCTGCATTCTTTATGGCATGTGATGATACCAAGCGCTCCCGTCTTCTCTTAATTTTTCTTTTCTTTACAAGTGGAACCTAAAGCCCCGCGTATTTTTTAGTATGCAATGAACAGTAAGCACCTAACGCCCACTTACACAAAGCCATTATGTCTGCTTCCTCGCTCTTCGCTCCCATGCGTCAAAGGCCATGTCACTCTTGCACCTGACACAGGGCCGAAAACCAGAGCGAGAATGGGGAAGGTGGACAGACGACATGTAATTGTATTGTGCGTGGGAAAGAAACGCTCAGAGTCATCTACCTGATCAGCAAACTAGCGCCAGAAGTGCCACGGTTAAGGCACAAATGGGAGAAGGCACAAAGGAGGAAGGCATTCCCAGCAGGCGTAACCATTCCCATGCATCCCAACTGGTGCGAACATGCACACATCCGTACTCTACCCGGATTACCACATCAAACCCCCCCTGCCTCCGCCCCATTAATGTGAAACACCATGCATGGATGGAACCTGTAGAGATGCACAACCTTGCTTGCATTGCCACAATGCCACATCGTACTTCTTGCGTGCCTGCTCTGCCTCCAGACCGCTCGAAGCAGATTGAAGCACGTGTGAAGTGAACAGCCTGTAACAAGCAGGTAGACTCACGAGGGAAAGCAAGTCGCGCTGCCACACTCATCCTGGACACCAGGTCGTACCCCTTGTCATTGCACGCCCACACTGCCCCCGCCCGCCCCGTGAAAGCGACATTGCTAACGACCTTCAGGTTCTTGCGCTTCTCGTAATGACCATTGCATTGCACTTATCGCATTGTCCCTGTTAAACACGCCAGCCCTTGCAGTAACCACCTCCTCTTCTCTCTTCGTCCTCCTCCCCTCCTCCACTCCGACTGCTTCCCCTTCTACTCTTGTCCCCCCTGCCACCTCCTCCCCCCCTGCTTACACTTCGCAAAACATTTGACTCCATCCACTCCGCTCTCGGTCCCCCCCTCCTTTGGCGCAAGTTCACACCAAGGCTCCTCAAATCCATACCTCTGACTTCCTGCTCCCACGGCCAGGCCAGCACAAGACATGTGTTGTTGGTGTGGGAAGGGGAAAAGGGTGGAGGAAAAGCCGAAGGAGGGAGGCATGACCAGCAGCAATGAATGGAAGAAGAGTAATAGCATGAGGAATTTGCTCAGCTTGTCGCACCTCTGTGTTGGCATGTTGCTCTGCCTGTCATCAGCTGAAAATCCATACTCACCCATGGCACATGATGATGCCACAAGCTTGCACCTCTTCAACTTTTCACGTGCAGCCTAAAAACACCGCGTGTTCAGCATGCCTTGATCCGCGTGCAGCTAACACCCACTTACACAAAATTACAACGTGGCTGCTGCCTGGATCGTAGCCCCCAGGCCTACCCCCTTGCCTGTATGCACACGGTGAGGTTGTTGGTCTGTATGACAGGAAAGGGGACAGTCTGGATCGTAGACCCCCAGGCCTACCCCCTTTCCCGTGTGCACCCACATTTTGCAAAAATTTACTCGCTTGACTGTGTGTGTTGCAGCGATGACATGGGCTCCATACAACTAGCACACGTCAGGATTGTTATAGTCACAATAGGCTTGAATGTGCCTAAAACGAAAGATAGAGAGCACAGACGGATTTCTGCACAGCGGCTTCAAACGTTGATAGCGTTCTGCTCACAGCTGCAAATGACTTGATTCAAATTGGATCTGGAGCGTCTTCACGTCGTCTAAAATTAGCAATTTAGATTGCACGATTTGATAAAGAATTGACGACACAGCGTCGGTTTGAACGAACGGTACTATGGCAGCCACTATTGTCTTAGAACACAAGATAGGAAGAGTTACGAGTTGGGAATGACTCCCAGCTCCTACAAACCCCAAGAGCCGAGGTACAGTGATGTGGAACAGTGCCACACTGTCCCCAACCACGAAGGGTCTTGAAACTACCCTTCACTAGGGCCTACACCAAGTGAAATGTTACACTACACAAAGTAATGTAACTATCTTCAATATCTTGAGGTGTACCCTTTTGGCGAGCTTCGAAATCACTTGAGGCTTGACACCAAGGCTCGGGCTCTTCATCACAAACTCATCCTTGAGTTCTTGATGGGTCTGCTGCACACACCTGCGACACGCCGAACGTTCGACACAG